TGGTATTTAAATGCAAATCAGTATGATGCTATTTAGTTAAATTGGTAAACTATGTAAATGAAGTTATAGTTATTTTGACTTGTTGTTACATCAAAAAAAAAATATCTATCTACCTACTCTTACCTATTAGTATTTAAGTTAAGTCCAAGAGAATGGGAAGAATTTTTTGTACCAGATTCTACAGAAGATGAAATTTTCTGTAAGGGTTTCACCAAGTCAAAATCTTCCATAGTGTACATAAATTGTTATAGTCTCTTATATGAAACTGTAGGTTCTTTCACTGCTTGAAGAAATTGAATCCAAGTCATCTTCAGATGCTTCATCATCTACAGGTATTTTCAGTTGCTAATATTCAGAACTGTGAAATATCCTAAGCTCCCAAAAGAGTCTGAAAATGAATGGAGGGGAAAAAATACTACTATAAAAAGCCACTAACTCTACCAACTGTTTTTTTGTGACTTTGGAAACCTTGATGCTTCTATACAAATCTACGTTAAAAAAAAGATAGCAACAGCATTTATAATAGCCAAAATGCAGAAACAATCCAAATGTCCATCAATTGATGAATGGCTAAACAAATGTGGAATAAACAAATAATGGAATATTTTTCAGCCATAAAAAGGAATGAAATACTGATACATACTACAATGTGAAATATTGAAAACTTTATGCTAAGTAAAAGACCACATATTGTATGATTCCATTTATATGAAATACCTAAAGTAGAAAGACTTACGGCTACTGCCAAGAGTTAGGGGAAGGCCAGATGGGAACGAAATGAGTATGGGATGTCTTTGCTGGGGGTAATGAAAATTTTGGAATTAGATAGTGGTGATAGTTGCACAACTCTGTGAGTATACTAAAAACCAAATGAACATTTTAAAAGAATGAATTATACCTCCAAAAATCTACAAGGGTGATTTGCAAACATAGCATCATCTTTTTCAGGTATACATCAGAATTTTATGTGTTTGAAGGTTCTATACATATAACACTGTACTATTTAACTACTGGAATACTTACATGCCTTGTTCATTTATTTAATAAATTCTACCAACCATCCATGCTTGTTGATTTTATACAGTGACGAGATGAACTGGAACTACTTAGTATATAACTTGGTATTAAAAACAGTCAATTACAGTGACTGTGAACGGGTATGTGGGGGGGACTTGGTGAAGGGGGGAGCCTAGTAAACATAATGTCCTTCATATAATTGTAGATTAATGATACCAAAATAAAACTAATAAAAAAAAATAACAGTCAATTAAACTGTTAACAATGGTTGTTTCCCCACTGGATGGAAGGTGGGGGTGGAAGAAATGCATTTTGCACTATGCAGCCTTTATTACTCTATTATGCACGTATTACTTCTTAAAAACCTATTTGCAGAAACAATTCCATTCACAATTGCATCAAAAAGAATAAAATACCTAGGAATAAACCTAAACAAGGAAGTGAAAGGCCTACACTCTGAAAACTACAAGACACTCATAAGAGAAATTAAAGAAGATACCAATAAATGGAAACACATCCTGTGCTCATGGATAGAAAGAATTAATATTGTCAAAATGGCCATCCTGCCTAAAGCAATCTACAGATTCAATGCAATCCCTATCAAAATACCAAGAGCATTGTTCAACAAACTAGAGCAAATAGTTCTAAAATTCATATGGAACCACAAAAGACCCTGAATAGCCAAAGCAATCCTGAGAAGGAAGAATAAAGTGGGGGGGGATTATGCTCCCTGACTTCAAGCTCTCTTACAAAGCCACAGCAATCAAGACAATCTGGTACTGGCACAAGAACAGACCCACAGACCAGTGGAACAGTATAGAGAGTCCAGATATTAACCCAAACATATATGGTCAATTAATATACGATAAAGGAGCCATGGACATACAATGGGGAAATGACAGCCTCTTCAACAGCTGGTGTTGGCAAAACTGGACAGCTACATGTAAAAGAATGAAACTGGATCTATGTCTAGCCCCATACACAAAAGTAAATTCAAAATGGATCAAAGATCTGAATGTAAGTCACGAAACCATAAAACTCTTAGAAAAAAACAGGCAAAAATCTCTTGGACATAAACATGAGCAACTTCTTCATGAACATATCTCCCCAGGCAAGGGAAACAAAAGCAAAAATGAACAAGTGGGACTATATCAAGCTGAAAAGCTTCTGTACAGCAAAGGACACCATCAATAGAACAAAAAGGTACCCTACAGTATGGGAGAATATATTCA